TTTAAACATGGGCTGGCCGGCGTGGTCGTGTTGGGTCCAGGTGTGGTAATGTCGCTCTACCTATGGGGTTAGCATGGTCGCGCCAACTCCCTATTTTAATTACTCTAGACTTGTTGTCTTGCGGCATGGCCACGACGCCTTCGGACATGATCACATTGAAGGTAGCTTTCACGCAGTTGAGGGAAGGCTCAGCTTGTTCATGCAATGCCACAACATAATTACGTCACGGGCTCTGACCTGCAGTGTGATATGTTGACCTCATTTTCAGTGAGGCCTTAGTTTTTTACTTCTAGAACCCAAAATCTAGCCTTAGGAGTTCTTATTGACCATCCTAGCAGACTAGCAATAGATCCCACCTCCCTTAGAATTTTGAGCTACTTCTCATTTTTGTGCTGACCTCGCATGAGTAGTACCAAACATTTGACTCTTAGTTGCAAGGGCTAAGGACCAACATGTAGAGGGCTCAAAAATGAGTTCCTACAAAGTCAGACTGCTTTAGGTGAACCCTCCGTGACTTAGCAATGCACTCGTTACACGACGTACGAAGTTGACAAATTTTTGACACTTACCTCTTATATATTCCAATCATCAAAACATATCAATTAAGATCATTTATTGCCCATTTAGTCATTTGGTTAAGCCTAAATATTAATTAAGCCTTAAATTCCAAAATTACTCTTTTGCCCCTAAGACCTTAATACCCTATAGTTCATTAAATTAGACTCAAATGACTTAAAAATTTTATTACATCACTCATGGGTTAATTAAAACATCAAACGAGAAAATGTGATTTTTTTGAATTTATTTAAATTTTATAATTATTTATAAAGCAAAATAAGGATTTTCAATGAAAATTTAATAACTTAATCAAAATAAAACTTTTGTCCTAAAGAAAATTATTGATGTTCACCTAGGTCAGAGGACCACTTGGACTAATATTCATGATGTTTAGAGGTTTACGTTAATTATTTGAATTATTTGTTGATTTTGAGTACTAATTAAATATAAAATAATATTTAAATGAAAAAATAAGTTTTATATTTCTATTAAATCTCCTTTAGTCTAGGGAACCCAAAGAATAAAATTTTATATTTTTTTGGTTTGTATTTTAATTATTGGAATTATTTTAGTGAAAAAAATAAAGAAAATTTATTTTTTTAAAACTTTTAAAATTAATATCTTCACTTGGAACATCATTTAAACTTTTAAAATTAATATCTTCACTTGGAACATCAGGAATATCAAGTCATTGTTTGGGGATATTAAAGTGAAATCAAAGAGGTTATTGGGGGGTTTTTACAAAGGTTATTGTAACGAGGTATTGAAGTGGAACCGTTGAGGTTATTTGTGGGGATATTGCAGGGAGTCATTGAAGTGAAACCACAGATGTTATTGGGGATTATTGGCAGAGTTATTGCAGGGGATTGTTGAAATGGATTATTGAAGTAAAACTATGGAGGTTATTAGGGGGGCTATTCAGAGGTTATTACAGCGTTATTGGAGTTAATACCCCAATAAACCCTAATAATTCCCCAATAACTCTCCCAATAACATCCATGATTCCACGCTAATAATCTCCGTTGTTCCACTCCAATAACCACCGTGGTTCCATTTTAATATTTTTTTTTAAGTGACCCGATATAACATAAATGATGATATATCAGTGTTCAGTGTCGACCAACTCATCGCTGGAACATCTATTGTTAAGAGCGAAGAAGATGGCCTCATGAAACAACAGGTCGCCGCCGTCCACTCTAGCGCCGATCTCATCACCTTCTACGGCCACAAATTCGACGGTTATCAAGACGCTGTCTACGACGTCCATTCCCTCCGCCTATTCTACCACGAATACAATATCTTCGGCACCGTCGACTTCATCATCGGCAATGCCGCCCCCCTCTTCCAGTCCCGCAACATTCTTCCGTCTGGCTCATCTTAATCGCCTCCAGCATCCAGCCCAAGAAGCTGAGTTAGTAAACTCTATAGTTAATGGGCTGAACTCTCAGCTCAGCCAAAGCCAGAAGGAAGCAGATGGCGCTCAAAATGTTGATGAAGGCGGAAACGGCTACTTCCTCCAAGGAAGCCATCAGATACCGATCACATGGAAAGGAGAGAAACAGCACAATCATATTATATACAAATTGAAGGATGTTTATAAAAAGTAATCGTCATTAATTCTAACCAATTCGAAACCACAGAATCTAATAAACTTAATTTTTTTTTCCCAAAACGTATCCTCTAACGGAAAAAAATATTACCATACTTCAATGAAAACGTGCCACGTGATATTATGGTAGGATCATTACATACGTAGCACATCCCCATTGGAGTAATGATGCATCAGTACTCATGAGATAATACTTTTTGAACAACAAAATCAGTACTAAGATATTACTACCCGTTGTTGACACATACGAGTCAAATTTCAGTCCTACTTCGGGTCTCATTACTTGTAACAATAACTATTGTAAGATAGTTTATATTTAATAAAAAAAAATGGAAAATGTCTTTATGAAGTTATTAGTTAATAACTTTGACTTCATAGTTTATAGCACACATTGAATTGCACCTCCTGTGCAAACACTAAAATCTAAATTCATTTAAATGAAAACGATGTTTAATTACTACGATAACAAAAAGACGTTGGACCACAACAACCAGAATCACAATGCCAATAAAGCTGCAATCAAAACCTTTGCCTGAAAAGGTATATTTACATATCCAACACCCCTTTAGTGTTAGATATGTAAATACAGAAGAATTGTGATGGTATGAATGTAAATGCACCCAAAAAAAAAAAGGACTGAGAAAGATTAGTGCTGACAAAAAAAATCAGAATGAAAGGATGCCCAGGTTTATACAGCTTACAAATGAAACTTTTCAGCTTCCAACCACCATATATTTTACTCTGCCACAATTATTCAAGAATGAACAGACAAAAAGAATTAATTCTCCATAAATAATTAATTTATAAATTCACACATAATAAGACTAAATCCAGAAATGAAAACACAGGAACAAAAATGTATTTTATCTAACATGTGATAAAATAGTAGCATAAAAAGATAGCAGTACTCCAAGAGATCAATTCTAAAGCACAAGAGAAATATAATAGCTGAAGCTCTTTCACAACAGAATAAGTCCAAAAGTCTCCTTGCTCTTGGTTTTACTTCAGCGGAATGAATCTGGAGGAGTGGGTTGCACCAATACCAGGCCGACCGTGCTTCACAGGTTTGTATGAGATGGAGAACTCGGCCAAATAATGACCTATCATTTCAGGCTGTAATGGCATTAAAAAAAAAAAAAAGAAAACATAAGATTTTAGACGAAGTATTCATATACATAGATATCAGTGTAGTAGAATTCAAAGTTTAGATGAAGTTAAACTAACGTTTAAGAAGCAAATATACAATTCCAAGTTAATGCACAGAGAAAAAACTCAAATAAATATAAGAGCGAGGAAATGCAAGAGAAAAATATCCAGAATGACTTGATTTGCTACGCTGATAGATTGATGATAAAATAATATTAAGTGTTGATAATCTTAATTAGGAAAAGAGAGATGCAGGCGAGGCTTTTGAATATCACAAACATTACTCGTTCAATTAACACTTATTATGCTAACTTTATGGGAAATTTACATACAACCGCACAATTGTTCTGTATTTGCATATCTAACACAGTTTATATTTAAATTTATAACACTTTGGTGTTGTAAACTTGTGCATGAAAAGATCCACTTCACTTTTAAGAAGTAGTAATGGAGATATTGTTTCATGTAATATTAATATTTTAGTGATATACATGTAAATATAAAAATTTGGATGTTTGATATATAAATATATGAGAATATTGTGATATGTATGTCAATGCCCCTATATCATATTTAGGTAATTTGATAAAGTTGAACAACATTTTAAGGAATTGACATATAAATGAACTAGCTTGTACGATGAAACATTCATCCATTTATGTCATTAACAAAGTCATTCATAATTTGACAAGTTGCTTGTTAAAAGCTCAATAAAATATAAATCTAGTAATGATTTAAAAACTTATTTGTAGATTTATTCAAAATGCTCATTAAACCATCTTATAATCTATGCACTCTAAAATTATAAATAATAATTAGATATTAAAAAAAAAATATTAAATCATTTTTACAAATGTTTGAATTTAACCAAACAATATAAATAATACTTCATGAACATGCCAATTTATATATAAGGCTCAATAAACAAAGCAAATTTCAACCAAGGCTCATAAGTTCATGTATCATAATAAGCATAAAATTTAAATTATTAGTACCAGATATCCAATTAATTAATGTTTAAAGTCTGAATATGATCCGAACTCGAAATTAATAAACAGATTTGGATAAATATTTTAAAACTTGGACCCCGTTTTACCATTTTATATCTAAATGCTTGAACATATTTTTTGTTTACAAAATAAGAGAATAAATAAATGATTTCAAACAAAATAACAAAATTTGAAGGTGAAGTAATCAGTTGTTGCAATTTAAACTTCAGGGTACAGAGCATGCCAAACACTATCAATCAAAAGCCTCCTTATATGTTTAAAAGAAGCCCTAACAAGACTAAATTTTGCATAATAACTCGAAATTAATAAACAGATTTGGATAAATATTTTAAAACTTGGACCCCGTTTTACCATTTTATATCTAAATGCTTGAACATATTTTTTGTTTACAAAATAAGAGAATAAATAAATGATTTCAAACAAAATAACAAAATTTGAAGGTGAAGTAATCAGTTGTTGCAATTTAAACTTCAGGGTACAGAGCATGCCAAACACTATCAATCAAAAGCCTCCTTATATGTTTAAAAGAAGCCCTAACAATACTAAATTTTGCATAATAACTTCGGCGAAGTGAAAAGATGAGCAGCAGCCAGTAATCTTACTGTGTTGATTGAGGATATATAAAGAAGAAACACACCTTGATCTCAACCTGGTTGAAAGTTTTTCCATTATACACTCCTATAATGCTCCCAATCATCTCTGGAACTATTATCATATTGCGGAGATGAGTCCTTACAGGCTCAGGCTTCTCACCAGGAGGAGCATCACGTTTCTGCAATTGGGTTTACACAAGTTTATATGAATATATTGAAAGTGCATAATTTTAATTCATATAAATAATTACTGCATCGCTTCTTTATATATATATATATATATATATATATACATAT